TAGATGTAGGTCATGTCTGAACAGCACAGTGGTCACATTAGTTCTCAAATCCCAACATTTTGTTTAGCCTTGTTCAGACTAATCAGTCCAAATTCGATTTTTGTGCAATTGGAATCCAAACATATTTAGAAAGTGGGAACAGCAAAAATATCACGTGAAATTCAATATTTACAAAGCTATTTCAAACTCCATTCATATGTTCAAATCAGATTTCTGGAAATCCGTCAGTCTGACCACTCTAATCGGATTTTGCTTAGCTTTTCTCAAGCCATGTAAACGTTGGGGTAGAAAACATGCTGAAAGTCATTGCAATTAGAAGGTTGTGTTGTTGTGAAGTGCAGATCGAGCGGAAAATTACAATATCCTCACTGCCAGTCGGCTTGGCATACACGTCTCTTTGAATCCTGTGAGACGGTAATAAACCCGCTCATGCCAGCCTCCTACGGTCTGCCAATACAGTGTGAACATCGAAGTCATGAAAATGATGAACTAAAAATGGAAAATGGAAATTGAACGACCGCCACGGCACACACAAATCGGACACAGTGTGGACAGTCAATCATTTAGATCAGATTCTAATCGGATACACAGATATTTGGACTGACAGTGTGAATGTAGCCTATGTCTTTCTTATCTACACACTTCTAATGAGCTGATGATTAATAACCAATACTAGCAACTGCTTGACCTTAAAACGCTATGCTGAAATCAATCATCTAAACAGCCACACAAACTAAAAAATCTGAAGAGGAAAGAGGAGAACACATCAACTCATGATCACCCTTACAAGAACCTGAAAGTCATCGGCCTTTGAAACTTCTGTCAAACTGAAAAGGTTCCAGATGCTTAAATAATATAAAAGACTTCATACCTGTGTATCCTATACGCAAACAAGTAATTATGTTATTTAAGAATTAATTGCGGAACTGTAATTGCATGTGTGGGTTATAAGTAAGTAAGCTACAAACCCCCCCCCCCCAAAAAAACCTGTGTTAAACCTGATTAGGATCAGATTTGAGAACCACTGCCCTAGAGAAAATCAATCCAATCCGTACATGCTGCTGAATGACAATAACCTTCAACCGAAGCTGCCTTCTGAAGACCAGAAATCAAGAGCTAGTTCTCCAGAGAGCAGAGGTCAAAGGTCAGTCTTTTGAAGGGCTGAAATCAAGGTTTCTGGTATAAAAAAAAAAAAAAAAAAAAAACTTCTGTGGAGGCGAGTGTTTGTCTGAGTGATGATGACCCTTCATTGCTGGTTTAGGACACCCGATTTTTATACAACATGTGAAATGCAACAGCAAGGAATAAAAAAACAGTTCACAGCAAAATCTTTTATTCTCCATGTCATTCCAAAAGCATGACTTTATGTGGCACACTAAAGGAGAAAATCTGAAGAGTTGTTCTGCGGTCTCTGCATGGATGTTTGACTTTCCAGATTCAAAAAGGATGCAGAACTCCATCAAAGTAATTTAAAAATGGTCCTTAGGCTACAACTGTGCCATATTACAAGTCCTCTGAAGACTTTGTGCAAGGAATAGAACAAAACTTAAGTCTGTGAAAGGATCAACTAATTAATTGAAAAGAAGAATTTGTTCATGAATTAGACATTGGAAATTTTGCATCAACTCTGATGAACAAGCCAAGGACCGCTATAGTGTTGTTCAGTGAATGATTTACATAAGCTATTATGATTCATTTATGCTTGAAAACCTCAGTCTCCATTAACTGTATTCGGATGGAAAAGATCTACACATTTTTACATTTTTCCTTTTGTGTTCCACAAAGACGTCACACATGTTTGGAAAAACATGATAGAATTTAAATTTTGAGTGAACTACACTCTTAAAGATAAAGATTCTTTATTGGCATCGATGCCTGGAACTTTCATTCAACAAAATGTTTTTTTTATAGTGAAAAAATGTTCTTTAGATTTTTTAAATGTTCTTCACACTAATAATTAACAAAAAAGGGTTCTCTTAAAGGTTCTTTGGGGAACCAAAATTGGTTCTTCTTATGCACTATAACCCAGATAAGTTGGCAAAACTTAAGAAATTTAAAAGTCTTAATAAGCAGGACTTGCAGATTTTTATTTTGAACTAATATATTTTAATTGCTCTTAACTTGAAAATTTTTGAGTAAGCTAATTAATGCATTTAACGTAAAATTGTAATGTAATCTCAATTTAAATATTTGTATTAGTGAAAACTTGGCTAGCTTTAACTAACTAATTCAATACATCAGCCGCGGCTCGTCTGTATGGGACAAAAATTCATCCAAACATAGACCTCTATATAGGCTACACTCAATTAATAATAAATTATAAATGACTATAAATAGACTATTTTAATTCGTAAAGTGAGCAGGATATATTTAAATGAGTACTCTTATGGTACTGAGAAGGCAGCCGGTCTCGGAGACCTCCCTAGCTCTACAGCGCCCCACAAATTTCCAATGCAAATATATGGTGAAAAATGGAACTGCAGGAACCGTAGCGCGCTCTATTGCAGAGCCATTAGGGCACATTTCAGGCTGCCCGTCCCCCGCTATTATGACTAAACTTAACCTTGCTCCAGACCAAGACGATATCAATCCGCTTCAGATATGTGTCTTTATCAGGTCAGTAACTAGTTGGCATAGCTATCTGTTCTTCCTATGTGGAGTAGCGTATTAAATTAATGAAAGTATAAACCCTTTAGTTTAAACGTGCTAATGTGAATAGGCTACTAGCCTAGCCTTTATATACAGTAGTTCTGTTGTGTTTATTTTATATTTGTTCTGAGAATAGACATATGTTTTCCTCACTGAAATTCCTACACAACTTGCAATATTCTTAAACAACATCGGACGCAATGCGTTTGTCGTGCTACTAAAGTCTGTCAATCATCATTAGAGCGCCACCCTCAGGCTGAATAACGCAAGGACAATTATGAATTCTGCCAAAAGTGTGTCTAATGTGTTCAGCGATTAAGATATGAAGCTTACAAAATGTTTATCATAAACTAACGCCAAGACTCAGAATCTGCCCAACCTAAATTTACACTGAAGCTGCTATTGCAATGAATGCTTGCTAATTAGTAACACAATGCTTTGATAGCATTAGCATAGCATAGCATATCACTTTTTGAACGAGTACAGCTATATAAAACACTTAAAGGGATGCCGCGCGTTTTTTAGGCCAAAACATTTTTTGTCACATACAGCAAACATCACCTCACTATCCGCTAGCTGGCTGTCCCAGGCTCCACAAACGACAACAAAAACAAACTGTGCCAACCCGCTCCATGAAACATAACAAACAGTGTTCCAGCCAATAACCGGCAAGAAGGGTTTGGGGGTGGGGTTAGTGCCCGTACACATGAAGGGGGGTGTGGAGGAGAGAGAAGCATGAAGAGGGAACTTAGAATTATATGCTCTTTTTTGTTCTCTTTAAGTTTGATATGGCCGACACACGACCAAAGAGACGACGTTCCGATGAACAGATTGCAAAAATGCAAAGAAGAGGGAACGCGCAAAGTCCCGAATTTACATTGGAAAAGCCTTTGAAAGGTGGCGAGATCTCCGCCGGCAGAAGGGCTTCCAATCCGACATGCAGGAGCTCTGTTTTTGTTGGACAGGTGGGTAAATCCAGTTTGGTTTTTCTAAGTGGACGTTCTTGTTCGCCTAACAAACACAAGGATATAATTAGCTAGAACAATGCAGTCAGCGCTAACTTTGGTGAATACAACATAGGTTTCTAGCAGCTATCGATCTCTATTGTAAATGATCAAGCAAACTCACAGTAGGGCGACAGTTTGTGTGAACGATTGTTTTCACCAATTTTTTGTTATGAATTTGAATGTTCATTCATAGCCTATTGACAACTTTGACTAAATTTGTTTACGACGGAGCCGTTGTTTACGCTCACTGGGAAACGCGAAGCTAACGTTATCTTGCTATTATTGTATGCTTGTGTGGGAGCTAAAGTTCAGGTGGCGAAACGTTTTATCAGGTTTTTCTGGTATTGTTTATCTTTTTCTGCATTCTGTTCTGCATTATATGAAAGCATTTATCTAAATTGGTGACATTACACCTTGAATGAAGTATCAGTAAAACTACAGGGGGGATGAGGAGGCGGGAGGGTCGAGCTAGCCTCCGTTTTGTTTGACAATACTTCGAACGTCAACAAGAAGTGACGTCACCCGACATCGCTTAGAGCACCTTTAACATATATCTGTTCTCAAACTAAGCTCATGTTCCACTCGTCATGGTAATTGTTTGGAAATAGAAATCCCAGCCCAGATCCAGTTAAATTTAAGTTTGTCTAAATTAAAAGAAAGAAGTTCATAAAACTCCAAACAATGATACAATTCAGATTACTTAAAATGTGTCAGTTTAGTGAACTCAAAAGAAAAAGAAAGTTCTAAATACTCATAAAAGTTATTAATTGGCTCTACTCAAACCAATTAATTATTTTGAGTATTAGGGTTTACAGTGTGGCGTCACTGTGAAAAACATTTTTGGAACCTTTAGTTTTAAGAGTGTAATTCTTTAAGTGGAAATAATGAGATTTTTCTGGATATAGAAAAGCTGTCTAGTTGTGAGCATGAAATGTATGAAAAAGAAAAAATATGATCTAAAGGAGGACAATAGACTTAAGAGCCCATGATGGCATGAGAGTCGACGGGGGGATATAATTAGGGGGAAGAGAAAAGCAGAGCAAGCAGTTTGTGGAGGAAAGGCAGAAGGAGATGGAAGGATAATGGGATGTAGAAACTGACACCCAGAAGAAAGGGGTGGAGAGAGATGCTATAGGGGGAGACGTATAGACGGGGGGGGGGGGGGGGAAACTTAAGCTTTTGGCCATGGTTTTCCATCCCTAAAGGCGTTCTGTGGTTTCTAAAAAAAGCCCTGTATATTTGAAGTATCGCGTCACGTGACCAGGGCTGTATTTATGAATCAAAGAGTATCGTGATTTTCTGAAGGTAAGACAGAGAGCGAGAGAAAAATAGAGACAGATACCGTATGCAAGACAACAACTGTTGTAAAGAAGACATGCATGGCAGAGAAAGTTTGATTGAAAGAGGGAGGGCGAGAATGCCAGAGAGCGAATGAGGAGGTAGAGTGAGTGAGTGAGTGTGTGAGTGAGAGGGGGAGCGAAAGAGAAAAGGCAGAAAGCAACAGGCTCCTTTATTCACACAGAGAGACACATCTGACTTACACAAGTCAACTGAGCCGCTCTCGTTCGCTCAGTTCAACCCTTCACTCCAGACCTCCGTCGGGATCACCATATCAGGTAAGCCTGATCTCCACCTCGCTTCAACACAACAGACCACAGTCAGAGTTTTCTTTCGCGTTTCCCCCCAGCGTACAGCTCATAAAAGCGAAAGAGACGGTGAATGAGAAAGACATGTTAGAGCAGGAGTAAATGTGTGCAATTCCTGCTTACAGTTTGAGAGTCTGGAATCTTTTTTGGCGAGTTTGAACTTAAGACAAGATTAGAGGTATTGGAAGACAAAGCAAAAAATGTCCTTTTCAATGACCGGTTTCATGAATTTGCCTTTGGTTGTGAGTCTGTAAATGTCACTCAACTGGATGTGACATCTCAATGAGGCGAGCTGGCGGCGTCTTCTCATCGAGATCATCGAGTTCAGACAGAATCGGCTTCAACCTGATACTAGGAAATGACAAGACTACTGAAGTTCTCTGAATTTCACCAGTACTATAAACATGTTGCTAAAAGGGTTCCTCTGCCTTCAAGCATTTCAATTCAGACGATCTGATGGAAGCATTATTTTAGGACAGGGATATCACGAAGAGTGTTGTGTTTTTCTTGCCACAGAGATTAACTCGAGGTTAGTTGTTCACATGTATCACTCAAGATCTGGTCAGAAAATAAATCTGAAGACATGAAGATTCGTTAGGAAACGATTGTGCTGGTATATCCTTATCAAAGCAAGCGCTGTTTCTCTTTTAATTTGGTCAAATGGTTGTTTAACCTTTACACACACTTACTATATCCACTACACAGCAATAGGCTTCTGATGAACGCTGTGTTTCGATTTGACTGTAGTGACGCAATATTCCTAATCATAGTCTCACATGCACAGACAAGATTCGTGTGGGATTCTTCTGGGTGGCTCTTATGATTTAAAAAACATATATTTGTTTCTTTCTTTCTTTGCTTGATGGCCTTTTAAACAAGCCAATCACAGTGATAAGGGTTGTTATTTTTTGATAAATAGATGCATTGATATTACAGACCTTGTCAATAACGTTGTTGAAGGTTACGTAAACACCTTAAACTGGGTAATTATCCAAATGCAATGGAAATATTAAAATCAGCTGTTTTGAATATCGTAAGTGATCAAATGTTTGTGTTGGGATTGCTGTAGCTTCCTTACTGGAAATATGTCATGTGTTTGTACAGGGAGGTCAGGAAAGAGCTACTCTATAGCCGTTCGTTCAGATGGAAAGATCAGAATTGAGATCACTTTTAAACCTCGACAACAAAGAGATAAATGAAGGCCAAAGGAAATTTTGCTCCTGTGTGTCAGATGTTTTTAACAAATGTCATTTTGAAAAGAGACCTACAAAATGGCTCAAACTGTTCTCAGATTTGCCAAAATAACTCAAAACCTTCCAAGACCAATTTTTGATCTACGTTATTCACATACACAGCTAACGGGAGCGTTCTAAGAAGGTCGAACAGTGACATTAATAAAACATTTGTTCAAAGTTCTGGGGCCTCATTTATAAAACTTTGCGTAGGATTTGCGTCAGAAGTGGCGTACGGATGAAACATAGGACGTGCGTACGCACAGAAATATTCGGATTTATAAAACCGTGCGCACGCACATCCTACGCAGTTTTCCCTTAATAAATCACAATCAATTCTAAATGTTGCGCAGCTTTTGCGGCTTCATGTCACGCCCATAGTTGCCCATAAATAGTCCGTGAAACGCCCACAATTTAATATTCATCGATTGCGAAATCATGGCAAATACAGAGAGGAAAACAAAGAAACGTAACTTCACTCAATGTGAAGTAGAAATGATCGTTGGCGAGGTGGAAAAGAGGAGTAAAATGTTGTTTGGAGGGCATGCAGTGTGGGCATTACTATAGTAATGCCAAAAAGGCACTTGAGTGGCAAAAGGTTGCAGACGCCGTTAATGCTGCAGCCTCACAACCGTGGACCGTGAAAAAATAAATAGTCGGACATCAAAGTCGATGCAAAAAAGCGTCTAGCGCTCCATTACGTATTGTGATGGCATCATGACATTTTATTACCATCCATTTGATTGCATCTGACAAGCTACAGATGTGTTATGAGGATGAATTGCATAACAAGCCAATATTATTGCAGAACATATTTCACTTTTCTTTTTGCAAATATGTGTTAATTTGCATTTCTGTTGTTATGTAATCTTTGTTTGATTTTGTTTGTTTTACACTGCAGATCGATCAAACGGGTGTTCGTGTAGGCTGTTAATTGTAAGACTTGCTTTGTGAAGTCTTCATTTTATTTATGAGAGGCAGTATTGCCATTTCTTTTACACAACGGTCTACACTTTCACACACTTACACACACTTTCATGTATTTTTTCCATCTGCCGACGGTGTCGCCATTTCTCATTTTACCCGTTTTTGTGCGTACGCCTGGGTCAGAGCTTGCGTGAAGGACCGCACATTTTCCCGTCAAGTTTGCTTTTTATAAATACCAATTATTGCGTAGAGAGCGGCGTACGCCTTCTTTTGTGCGTACGCTACGTTTATAAATGAGGCCCCTGGTCTTTATAATAATTTAGCACATACACCGTTCATGGAACGTTTTTACCTGAAACACTTGTTTCAGAACATTCCGAGAACATTTAAAAGTAACAATCCCATTAATGTTTGCAATATTCTAAAATGGAATCTTCCCTTTAACATTCATACAACCAAGAAAAAACATCATTTTTTGAACATTCAGAGAACATTCAGAAATAATGTTTTTTATAACTTAATGGGAACGTTCTCAGAACATATTTTTGTTAGCAGGGTGCTCTCTCTTACGGTATTATACAATAATATATAATGATACATAATTGTGATCTCCAGTAAGTCTCCCAAGTTTTCATATTTTCCCCCAGGCTCTTGAAAATGAAGATGGCAATCATCCAATGGCAGTCAGGTTTTGCAGCCTCATTAGAGATCCTTGTACTGTACGTTCCACTTTTTATTCTTTAGTTCTTTAGAAAATCATCCATGTACTATTGCTCTAAAGTTCCCAGAAAAAAGAAAAAAAACACTAATCTGAAGAAAATGTGCTTTTAGGATACATTTTATTTTGAAGAGTACGGACTAAGCAATGTCTTATCATGTACCAGCCACATATTTAATGATCTCCAAAAGCATGAAGCAGGCTCACAGACTCGTTCTTGTCACGTCCTGGGGTTCATGGGTTTTCGTCAGCATTTATTTGGCTAACACACACTTTCAGAAGTTGTGCAGGGACTCTCCAGATATGTATATATTTAGACCTGCTTAAAACCAACTTTTACTTAACAAAACTTTGGTCACCACAGTTGTATTTACATACATATGAAATCAGGTATGTGCATGCCATGTGTTGCTGTGGTTCATGCACACTGAAAAGATCCAAGTAAAATAGTGGAATATATCATCAAGAATTTACCATATTGTCCACAAAATGCCATAGTTACAAAAAACCACCAGTAGTTTACATTATGGTCAATTAGACAATTCATCCAGGCTTACACGCGTCATTATCTCAAAGGTTATACGACTACATTTCCCAAACAATATTTTTTCATATTCATAAATAAACACCATCAGTAATGCATCATGTTCGACAGTTCGCTGTAAGTGATTTATATAAACACACCTATAGCTTGTAAACCGAACATTTCTTTTAAATTGTGTTTGTGAGGAACATGAGCACATTAATTAGCGCATAAGTGTGTGTGTTTCATAGATCATCAGTCAATCTGTCGGCGCAATGTCCTGAGCTCTGCTCGTCTCACCTGTCAGGCTGGCGTTGCTGGTGTAGTCTAGTTCACTTAAACGCATTGCAGTGTTTGTGTGTGTGATTGACAGAGAGAGAGAGAGAGAGAGAAAGCACTGTATTTAAATACTTTAACTGCACCTCCCTCGGTGTCTCATTGTTCTCAGCTTTTTGTGAATGATAGTTCCTTCAGGCAGAGAACGCTGTCTGTCTCTCGACTTCTCACTGTCTCCATCAACATATACTGTGAACACACATATAATTACCCTAACCTTACCATAAGCACAAACCTCTTACAAATAAAGCTTCTTAATTGGCATTTATGCTTCCATGAAGAACCTTTAACATGCATGGAAACTTTTCAATGCACAAAAGTTTCTTAACAGTGGAAAAGAGTTCTTCAGATTATTAAAATGTTCTTCACACTGAGAAACAAATACAAACTGTTCACTGGAAGGTTCTTTGGGGAATAAAATAAAGGTACTTTTATGGCATCACTGTGAAACCCCCCCTTTTTTAAGAGCGTAGCCGAAGAAGAAAGCATTTGATCTTTTTGGAATAATAAAACAAAAACATATTTATTTATGAAGTAAATTATGAAGATTTTTGTCTAAGTTCTGGAGCCATTTCCCCCCACACAGCACATCATGTACATGTAGCACCTGATATAGGAAACTGAGCAGGTAATACAATAGTGAAGCTCACTGCAGCTGGCATAATTCATGGAGAGGACATTCATAATTCATGCAGAAGTTGTGTAGAAGTGCTCTCCATATGCGCTGGCAGGCTGTACGGCCGGTGTTAATATGTTACGGCTGCCGCATCCGCAGTGCATTTGGATTGATTATTTGTGAGAAAGATGGTGAGAAATAGATAAAAAGAAACATACAACAGTTGGTGGAGATGCCAGAAAGAACAAAGAAAGTGACTCGAACCATTTGGAATTTTAAAAACTGTTTACATCCGGCTTATTAGAGAAATATGTCGGGTTAAGACATAACAGATGACATGCTTATGAGTTAAAAACTGTCCAGACATTCTCGTTTATTTTAAGCAGAATTAAGTTTTTTTTTTTAAATATATATTTTATGGTTATATTAGTGCTGTCAAATCGATTAATCGCGATTAATCACATATAACACAAGTTTGTAGTATGTATATATACAGTAAATGTACTGTATGTGTGTTTACTGTATATGTATATATACAAAGTTTTAGATGTGATTAATCACGATTAATCGATTTGACAGCACTAGTTTATATGACATATTTATAAGTTAAATATAAAC